CGAAAGGCAATTATCGTTTTGACACCACAGCTTACAGAGTAATTTCGCACGAGTACTGATGAGAACCAGGGTCATCAGGTTCGCACTGTTTCATCATTTTTGCGACTCCACCCCTTACTAAGGATCCCGGTGCGACCCCTCTCGTTGTTTTGTTGGTGAACAAAAATAATAGACTATGAAACTTTAAGGTCTTCAAGAAACGGCGGCTGTGGCATTACCCTGGGAGCGCGCCATTCACTAGGCAGTGAGAGATCGGAGTGCGGTTAGAAAGATATTTCAATGGAGGCATGAATATGTTGAAATCATAATTTCTTGTTCAGGTTGATTTGGGACATAGATGGCGTCCGCTTTCAGAAAACTACCAATATTACCTCATATGCCAGTAAGTGCTTCTGTTATGAAGCGAAAAATCCAAATTTCTAAGAAAGCGCACCTCCACCTTTGAAAGCCCTTTACTTTTTTAGAAAGAGACTCTTCAAATAGCTGTGAAAAAAATGGAAAACCACGAAAATCCCTCTATTTGAAGAGCATCAAATGTTCCGTGACGCTTATTTTGTTGAAAATCCCCGTTTGCATTTTTTTCGTGCGAATGCCTGTCTTTGAGATCATAACATTCTTTTTTTTTATTTCTGTGGCAAACTTTTGGCATGGCTGCAAACTGCAGGTTCAGCCCTTCCTAACGAGCACCTAATCATTTTTCAAAATTCGTTTCTCGACGAATTGGTTTCTTTGTAGCTTCTACTTAAGCCTCGAGTCACATTCACATCGTCGCACTTGTTTACTCTTATATTCGGTCCGAAACACATCCAAAACAATTTTTCCGCATGAGGTGAATCGAATTCAAAGTGGCTGCTGCCAACAAGCCCCGCTTTGGGAAGCGCCACACACGCACCTGTGGTTTAAAGTTGCGAAGGCACTTGAGAGTTTACTTCTGCTTCCTATGACCTGTGGAAGCCAGTAATTTCCATCCTTGTCGTGTATTGATGCAAGCCCAAGCCTACAGACATGTTCTGGATTCACATAGACCGCATAAAAGCCTTCAATAGAAGAATACAGCACGTCCAAAGTAAACGCCGATTGCGTTACCGAATCAGGATGTTCTCCAGGTTGTAATCCCCGAAACAGGTTTCATCATTCTGATACCAAATGATGAACGACAATAAGGAGATTATCGCAAACCAAATGTCACTCCCTGCTTCGACCGATCTGTAGCTCAGAGAAGCTCATAAATCATGCGTGAGCATGGATCCCTTATTTTTCAATCTTGAATTCGAAGAAAGCAGCTAGTGCGGGTATGATTCGGGTATAGGTGACTTCACGAAGTAGGCTCTTGGAAGTCTTACTTGGTCATATTCAGAATCGCTAAATGCAGATCTGGCGTGGCGCCCAGAAAAGTGGCACGAACTTATGGGACCACCTAGTACCAATTTCAAATTAAACAACTTTTATTTTATTTTTGTACAATCCCAAGTTTTCTTTTACGCAATCTTTTCCAACTCATTTACCAGTGACCATATCGCCACGATTTCTGTAGTGGGCCCCGTGTTTGCAATCCCAGATTTGCCATCCATCCCAACTCCACAAGCAAAATGCGACCCCCTCGATCGCACAGTTCGAAGGGATGGTCGACCTTGTGAAAACTACTCTTTATCAGAGAAGGATTTCGCTGAAGCTTTTCGTTCCAGACTACCGAGCGATTAGCCGATTCTGTGACATCATTTAGAACTTTCAATGCTCATTGCTATCTCTTGAAACATTAGCAGGTGTCATAATGGAAGTCAAGTACTAACCGAAATAGCTTCCTTGTTGATCTTGATAAAGTCGTCACGGTCATGACGCGCAAGGGTATGAACGAATCCAAGGGCGTGACCGATTTCGTGAGCTGTAATGTATGTATATGTGCAACCATATCCCATCGACATCAACTGCTCGCCGCCGTCTCTGCCGACAGAGGAATGACATCCTTGTCCCGGATACACCTTTATTCGGTCTTTGGCTGAAAGAATAAGGTTTTCTCCAACGAGTTGAAAGATTGGCTATTGCAACAACGACAACATAGAAAATGAATGCTTCTCGATTCTGACATGATATGTTGTTTACCTTCGTTTTGAATAATCATTTCATATTTCACATACATCTGTTTTACTCTAAATTAGTGTCTTTTCACTTTCTCTTTGAAAAACTTCTCTAGTGCTGCCATGTGTATAAGGCTGCCCCATAATTACTGAACCACTTTACATTTATTGCTATAAAAATTCCAAGAAAAATGGTGAAGGCGTGAAACATGTTTTGCGAAGTAGCACCCACATTGTCCTACCTGAGCAATTACTCAGCCCATTCACATGCTGCCTTCCGTGGCTGAAACTTCAATTTTTCTGGAACCTATTTTTGAGCTTCCTTCTTGCACCATTGTGATTAGGATTTTGTTACGCCAAACAACGTAGAGGAACAACCAGGGACGAGGATAGA